GCCTCTGTGAGGAGCAGCCCTCCGCCCCGGGCGGCTGCCGGCGCACAGCTACCGGGGCCTTTCGGAGAAATGTCCCCCCGCGGCACTAAAAGTAAGTTTGGAGGAAAAGCGAGCCCTACTAAACCCGCTTTTCCTAATGTGGTGTGCCAGCATTCCGTGTCATTCCGTAAAGCTTTGCGTGATTACCTCACTCACAGTATACCTAATAAAGAGGTGGTCTGTCGCTTGTGTGGTCTTCGGAAAGCAGGAAATTAGCCATCAACAAACAATGTTCGTGCGTAGTCTGAACAGGCTGGCAACAGGGTTCTTTACTAAGATATTCAGAAAGTAGGAAAATGTACTTAATTGCTTTTTCCGCCCTCTTCTTATAGGTTGTAACTTTTGCGAGGCTTGTGACATGAAGTAGGACAACCAGTATTTTGAAGAGCTTTGTCATAAGTACGGACGTATCTCTGAAAGTCAGTGGATTTGCTGGAGACTCTTCCCAAAGCTTGCTCAAATCGGAACCCAGAAACTTCCAAAAAGCTTCATAATGGAGTTCTCAGTGTCTAAAGGAGACTATGTTAGATGTTTCAAGAGATCTTTATTGCTACTTTTAGTATGCATAGTAGTTCTTGTGTGCGCTGATCAGGACTATTATAGTTTACTTGGAGTGTCCAAAGAAGCAAGTAGTAGAGAAATACGACAAGCGTTCAAAAAACTGGCATTGAAGTTGCACCCTGATAAAAATCAGGTAAGTTACATCTTTCACAGGCTGAAGTTGCTGGGTTAATGGTTCTTAATGTTTAAACAAAAAGTGGTTTCAATTTATCTAAAATGGTTCTCTGTTCCTGTGAAGTAATGTAACCACCTGATAACATGGCTCAGTTCAGATTTCCTGCAGAGAAAACTTACAAAAAGGGACTGGTCATACATGGTTGTGTTCCATTTGGGCCATATTAAATTGCTGTGGGGAAAAAAAGAGTCAAGATAATTTAATTCTCAATTCTGTTTTGTAAATAGAGGAAAACTTACTTCTGTACCATATTACATTGTTGGTAAACTGATGAGTTTGTCTCTTTCTGTTTAGCTTAGGGAAACTTACTATTTCCCTAACATGAAGTATCATCTGAACAGCAAACACCACCAGCCTGTACTGAAACATCAATCCCCAAGTATCGGATAGGACACAGCAGAAATTCTGGGACTGCCAAGACGTAACGAGGGAGGGTAACAAGGAGCTCTAGAATAACTAGTGAGAGAAGACAGGGAGTGGCTCGATCTGACAATATTTTCTGAAGTGCAAAGAAATCACTTCAAAACTTAAATATTTTTCCTAAAGAGTTCCTGTAATAATCAGAAATTCCCAGGAATTACGAGGAATTACGAGATATGTGCAATCAGGCCTGCACAGAGCCCCAGAAGACAGTGATGTTCCAAATGAGCTCAGGGCCTGACTGCACAGAGTATGTTGAAGCCTCTGAGGTGCTAATGTTTTACAGTGGATTTGAACATGACAAAGCTCAAAGAGAAAGCCAAATCTCAACAAAGCTAGAAATGCCAACTTGTAGCTATTGACCTCAAGTTTTGTTCTACCAATGTTGATACCTTCAAAATAATAACATTTTGGGTCAGGTTCTATAGTTTCCAAGTATGCAAATACTACTAAAGATTTTTCAATGGGTTATTTTCAACACAAAAGATGATATATGGAAGATAAAGCCATTACACAAATTCTGTAGTGGTAATTCATTTCCTGTGTATCTAGGTAAATAAGTCATGATTCCTTAAGAAAAAGTGTCTTTTGAATGAAATGTGTAAGCAGAAGTTACAAGGGTGGGAGAGTGCTGCAGATGTTGCCTACCACCATTATATTGCACCAGCTGAGAACTCAAAGTGGTGTTCAGAATACATCTGTGGATTTTTTGCTGTTCTGATTCTGAGGTACCTAGAACCAGAATGCTTTTTAAATAAAAAAGGAGGCCTCTGTCTATACCGTAAGATGAGAAGGGGTGAGTTTATAGCAGCGATTTTCAAACTGGACAAGTGGGGATTCTAGGGGAGTAGAAAAGACTACTGAGTAAATGTTAAGTTCATTCTTGAGTGGGTTTCTTTTATTTCCATTGAAGAGAGAGATGAAAGAAGAGGGTTCACTGGGGAATGTTATAGCCTCCTACCCATTTCCTTTGTATTTCAGTTGGTACTTGAGGATGAAGAGATGAGAAGACACATCTAGCTTCAGGAAAGGAAAACTACTGTAGTTTGTTTGGAGATCACCATGTAAAGTGTGCTTCCGTTACAGCTGGTGTCTTTAACAGGGACATAAAAATATTTCCAGATTATTTTCTCAGCATTATATGCACAAGATGGTTTATTAATTGCTTACTAATTATACTTTTCCTTACATAGAACGATCCAAATGCACATGAAAATTTTTTGAAAATAAATAGAGCATATGAAGTACTTAAAGATGAAGATCTACGGAAGAAGTATGATAAATATGGAGAGAAAGGTCTCGAAGATCAGCAGCAAGGAGGTCGTTATGAAAGCTGGCACTATTATCGCTATGATTTTGGTAAGTTATGATGTATGTTTGTGATTTGCTTAAAAAACTCACAAGTAAATGCAGTCCTCAGATCTATATCAGATCTTTTTATGCATTTCTGATGTATCCTCTGCAGATTTCTGCAGGATCTGTTCTCCTTAGCTGTCATTTTCTCTCTCTTGACCCAATCTTTTATTTACCCTGTTAATGGCTGCTGGAAAATACAATAATCTATTTACCTAGCCTTTTGTTCCTGCTGCTTACCTTTCAATTGGTCGTCTAACTTCTGGGGGGTTGTTTTTCTTTAAAGTGGAAAGCTTTTTTCTTTCTTTGTATTTTTCTCACTCAAATTCCAGTGTTAATGTTTCATCACTATTCTTTTTAACTCTTTAATGCAGTAAGACATTTTTTTTGTCTAGGCAAAGTATTCTCAAATGGATTTTGAGAGGTTTTTGCACTGTAGCCTATTTTGTATGCAATTATACAATTAGAGATCAGTAGAGAGGTAGTAGAAATAGAAAAAATAATAACAGAATCATACCTGAAATGATCCTGACACAAGTTAGTGTTTGTCTCAACAAATTTTAGGTAGTTGTAGGG